TACTGTGACAGGCGGGCAGTTTCCAATTTAGATAACGTTGAAGAATGATGGAAACCCCTTAACATGTGCCGTAAACTTACCCTAAGTTCACCTTAAAAGTTTATTACCGAGGGTAAATTTTCTTTTTATATTTATATTTTACTAATATATGGACATACTATTTCTGTTACCGACTTGCTTGAACCTTAATTTAATGTTTGGAATATGATGCAGGGCATGGAGGTATGATTTAAGAGACAACTTAAGGATACCTTGAGGATACAAGGATACAAACCGTAAAAATGTCTTTTATCCTGGAAATTGCTTAAAAGATCAGTCGAGTATTTGGTCGCCATACATAGTCCATGGGCGCCAGAGGAGATATCGGTACCACCTGAGGTGGCAAATTCTCATTATGGTTTTTGAAAATTAGTGTGTGTGAGGAATATATTTTGATATGATAGCCGTCGCAGTGGGGTAGCTTTGACCTTGCTATCTGACCATGAACTTTAACCCCATATGGACCACATTTTTTCTATTTATAATGCAAAGGTGTGGCAAACAATCAAATATGGATTTTTTTTCAATGTTAACTTCATGGACGTATAAATAAGGAATCAAGGATTACAAAAATGCTAATTTTGTTTCGATATGTCATTTCTATGCATATGAGAAGTTTGAGCGTATGAAATTCAATTTTGATAATAAAATTGTAAAAAAGGTAATGTTTACTTTTTAGAAACTGTGGTATATATCCAGATTTGGGCCTGTTTTATGCAGCCATCTGATTAATTGTAAGTTTTCCTACATTTTAATCTTCGAATCATACAAACAGTCGCAGCGTGATCGCTGCCGCTAATTTCCGTCTCGTATACCGTCGTTGCCGTTGAAACGGTCGCAGAAGGGCTAACTTTAAGTGTATTAACGCCTACTCAAAAAAGGTTATGGTACGCTTGAATATGACATCGACCATTCAGCGATATGGCATAGACTATTTCAAACGGCAAGGAGCGTTTACGAGACGGGAACGCGCCTCATCGCCCTATAGTGAAGACGTGGGCCTATGATAAAGTGCCAGTCACAAACACGATCAGCATGACGGCCTTTAAAAACCGCCTCGTCCCACTAGTTCAATCACTGCAGTGTTATCACCAGAACGATAAATGTGGAAATCACGCAAATGGAGCGATTTTACTTTCATTTCCATCGTGACGAGGCATTTCATGGTCGTACCCACTCAAATCCAACTGATGGAATTCGAATAACCGTCATCAAGTGACGCATACTTGTGTTTCATAATGAAACCTTTGGAACAACTTACCACCAAAATTTTTAAAACGTTCCAATTCATCTATCTTAATTGGTGTTCGGGTGCATATTTGACGCTTTCGTTTAATGACAGATTTACACTTAACTAAAATCGGTCCTGCAAACGTGGTGAAC